ATATTGTATTATACTGTACTGTATAATACTGTATTTTTCTGTACTGTAAAATATTGTATTATAATGTACTGTATTATATTGTATTATCATGTACTGTATTGTATTGTACTTTATCATATTGTACTGTACTATATTGCATTTTATTGTGTCATACTTTACAGTACTGTATTGTACTTTATTGTACTGTACTGTACCCTATTGTACTGTATTGTATTATATTCTACTTTATCGTGTTCTGTCGTATTGTACAGTACTGTATTGCGCAGTTGTATCACACTGTATCTTAATTGTACTTTATTGTATTGTAACATACTTTACTGCACTGTATTATATTTTATTGTATTTTACTGTAACATAATGTACTGTATTGTATCATCTCAAACTGTATCACAATTGATCCTATTGTACTCTATTGTGCATTATTGTACTGCACTTTTTTGTATCATATTGTATTGTACTGTACAGTACTGTATTGTATCACACTGTTGTATTAAAACCATCATATTGTATTGTATCTAACTTTATTGTGCTTGCATCATTTGCAATCATACTTTATCATTTTGTATTGTATAACATATTTTACGTAATATCTAATAACTTGTATTTCATAATTTAGTATCATTTTGTGTTTTAATTTATTTTATTGCGTCATATTCTCTTGTATAGTTTTGCAGCTCTTACATTTATTTCTGTGAACAGAATGTCTGTGATGGATCCGATAACAGTCACAAAGTCAAAGACGTTCCAGGGTTCTTTCAGGTAGTTCTGAAACACAAAGACACAAATCTGTCTGAGTTCATCTAAACAAAATGTCATTTACCTCATATGTCAACGTGGATCATCTAACTAGATTCAGCTTTAAATACAAAACAGAGTTCAGTTCTGTGTTGGAACAAATACTAAACAAATGTTCTCATATCCAAGTAAAGAAATCCTGCTCTGCTGCCTGGACCCCCGAAGGCTTCAGATCGGTCATTCATCCAGTTCCTGGTGCTGCACGCTCGTGCCAGACCCCGCAGGTGTTTTTATTCTCTCCTCTGAACGGCTACAGCAGTGGAGCATTTAAAAAGCCTGATGTGAGATTAGCAGCTGAACAGGTGGAGGTAAGCGATGTGTGAGGAAAGCCATTTAATAAATGAGCCTTGTAAACGGATCAGAACCACAGACGGAACGCCTCGCTGCCGACCAGACGGCACCACGTCAGCAGAGGATTTATACAGCTTCCTGTCAGAACGAAACCATCTTCTAAAATTTATTTGGTTTCATTGCAACTAAAAAAAACTGAGACTTGAAAAACATTTAAAAATAGAAGTGAAAATCCCAAAACATTAAGACTCAGAAGATTAATGTATTTAAAATGAATCAAATGGCAGAAATTAAAGGAAAATAATGATTCTGTGCTCTTTTTTTTACAGTTATAGTTTTTCATTTTAAGTTAGAAACAAATATTGCTGTTATAAAAAGTGACCATGTTTTATAACTCTAAACAAAAACAGACAAGAGGATTAAAAAAGTATAAAAAATTACTAATTTTCAAAAATATTAATGAAAGTAAAAGTGATTGTGGACAGAAACGTAAAGAAAAATGCGAAGCATAATGTTAGGGAAAAAATGATCATATTAAATAATAACAATTATAAAAAGTATTTTAAAAAGTTTTAAAACAGTTTAGGGAAAAAAGGGGATAAATACAGTGGTGAGCACAGTTCTGATAATCCACTAATAACAGAACTAGCTTCTCATTTAGCAGTTTTTTTATTTGTTGCTAATTTTGGAAACTGTTAGCAATTAGTTAGCACTTAATTAAGTTCTGCTAATTTAAATTCCACTAAAAAATTCACAAGTGTAAAACTTGTTTTTTTTATAAAGTCGTTTATCTTTAATTAAATAAAAACTACCCACTCTAACAAGTACTGCTGTATGGGTGTGTAGCATTTAGCATCAGTAGCAGCTAAACTTCAAACTAAGAGCGTCTAAAAGAAACAAAACAACATTTAACAATATTTAAGTAAGGAATAAAAAAGACTGTCTACATACAAAATACAGTACAGAAAGTATTTATTTAATACAAACTCGAGCAATGAACTACTTTAATTCGGAAAGAAGTAAACTGGAAGTATCACAAGTTAGACAGAGCCGTAACTCTGGTTTGGATTGGCCGATTTGCCACAGATGATCCCGCCCACCTTCAAATTAAACCAATAGAAAACTAACAACAGGTTTGTGTCAGTGCGCCAGTTTTCAACTGGAAGAAGATGAAGACAGAGCTTTCTGTTAGCGGTTAGCGTTAGCTTCTAATACTTTTGGAATCTGTCAGTGGCTAGCAGTTTAGCGTTAGCAGAGTTAAGAATCTTGTTTAGTGGATTAATGGTTAGTGAAGCTAACTTTTTGGTTAGGTGTTGCCACTACTGGATAAATACATTGGTAAAAAATTAATTTTAAGAGGCAAAAACTGACACATAAATTAACATTGTTAATGGTTTCTGTGAAAAAAAAAACTTATGAAAAATCACAATTTTTAATCTCTTAATTCTTTTAAATATGTTGGCATAAAGATTAAACTATCAGAGCACACATTTCTGGCAATTTTTAGTTCACAAAAYGTCAAACTTTCTGAGGTTGGAATCATTCAGAAAACTTTACTGTTGCTTTAAACGTGCAGAGATTTGAAACGTCAAACAGAAAAGCGCTGCAACAAAACGTGATGGTCCTAACAGCTCACCAGAGGATTAAAAGCAATAATCTTCAGGATGCACTCCAGCGTGAAGAGGCCGGTGAAGATGATGTTCAGGTATTTCAGCATCAACTCGTACGCGAGTGGGGCGTCGTAGAACTGAAGACAAAAACACAATCTGAACACAGGAAGTGTTTTATTCTGATATTATCAAGTTTTCTCATTATTCACATCCATTTTTCTTCTGTACGGTTTTCAGCGCATCATTCATACCATAATTTCTGTACTAATTTTAGTATTTATCAAAACGTTCAGCTCCTTCAGGCTGTAACTTTTGATATTTCAGCAATTTAAACTTTTTGCGATATTTAGCTTTTTCTGCCATTTTCCCACATAGAAAATGAATGGAGCCATTTTCATCATTAACACTTTAAAAAGTATTTATAAATCTTTAATTTTTATCTTTTGTTCTGGTTCTGCTTTTTTAATTCTTCGTGTTAATTACAGCTTTTCTTATCTTCCATTTTGCTCATTTTAGCTGTTTTCAGCACTTTCAGCTGTTTTTCAACTTCTTTTGTGTGCTTCTTTTTACGTCTTACTGTTAATTTAAGCTTGTTATGCTCCTTTCAGCTGTTTTTAGTGTATAGCTACTCTTTAGCTGTTCCTTGCTAAATTGAGCTTTATTCAGCTAAATTCACGTTTTGGTGGTCATTTCAGCTTTTCTCTGTTAAATTCAGCAAACATGCTCTTTTAGTGACGAGTTCAAGGTCACAAAACAAAAGGTGAAGGTCACAGGTTAGTCCTTTTTTAGCTTGTTTTACMCTTTTTCATCCAAATTTCAGCCATTTTTTAAATATATTTTGTTCATAATTTCCTTTTTTTTTGCTTCTTGCAACTTATTTATGATAGCTTGAACTTTTTTCCTGCTTCTTAAACTACATTTTTGCAAATATTTACTATTTTCTGATCATTTTAGCTACATTTCTGCTTTTTTGACACTTTTTCTATTTTTCTACAGATTTTTTACTTTTGTTTTCCTACTTTCAGCAAAGGTCAGCTGTTCAGATTTAACTCGCATYAACAATTCTGCTATTAAACCTTTCAGCTTCTTCAGCAGCTTTCAGCAAAAAAATCTTTCAGCATTAACGCAGGAAATGCAAACTCTAGTTGTCCTTAACATCATTTTTTTTACTTTATTCTCTCCATCTGGAGTATTTCAAGAACATTTTGAGTCAAGCTGAAAAAAAATCAATGCATCAATAAAAAAGCGGCATTAGTGAAATTCTACGATTTCAAAATAAGACAAAGACAAAAGAACAAAAACGTTTTGGTTTAGTTCATAAATTTAGTCAGGATTAAACTTAATTTCTCCAAACTGAGGTCTAATAAAATGCTATCTACAGCAGGTAAGATGCTTAAAGCACATGTRGTGATTTTTACATCAAACAGGTGGATCAGATCAGCTGTGCAGCTCACACCCACTCATATGTTTTATCTTTTTTTATTAAAGGTGAAAAATCATGTGTCGCTCCCAGATGTCTCAGATTGAATCCACTTCAGTGTCTGCGTGGGCCGAGTGTTGCTGCTGTGATGATAACAGACGATTACGACATGAAACTGTAACATTATCTCAGGCTGGATGTGTCAGCGGTGGGTCAGCTGTGGCTGCTTTAGCCCCTCTCAGTTGACGCACAACACACAGAGTCATAATTAGCCTGTTAATGGTTTATTACCAACACAAAACACTGAATATTATAAACATTAATATGGGGAAAATGACTGTTTTTAGGCTAAAAGAATAAAAACAAAAATATTTTTTCCTCATGCTCTGAGTATGTGATGAGGGTGAGTCTCAGCTACCACCACACAAACTTTTAGCTAAATATCTGTAAAACTAACTGATTCACAGCCGTTTCTGTGTTGCTATCGAACATTAGCTGTGGTGGCCATCTTGAATTGGTTAATCAGCTGAAGACGTCTTACTGAAAGTTTCATTAAAATGAGATATTTTGCTAACAGACACTTGCAACATGACATTTTTCTGTCATAAAMCAACAGTTTATACTTTTAATTTGAGAGTTATGCTTTTCGAGAGGTTAAAAACTGACCTTCATCATCAACACGACCGTGTTGAGAGCGATCAGAGTCATGATGGCGTACTCGAAAGGCGACGAGACGACAAACTTCCACATCTTGTACTGGAAGGACTCCTTGTTCTCTGGCATGTACCTCGTCAGAGGCCTGGCGTTGATGGCAAAGTCAATACARGCTCTCTGTTCGAGGGGAGACCACACACAAACAGACCGGGTGTGAAAAACAACAAAACAATTAATCATGATTAATTGTAGCCTTTAGCCAGTAAATATGAMAATTTATGTCCAAGTCACATGACTGATTTCTCACTGACTGGACTTTTCTGCTTTTGTCTCATAAAACAACAACAACAAAAAAAGACTTGTGCCCCCAACTGTTGTTGGATGATAAACTTTGGTATCAGGTCAGATATGGGCAAAGTAACAATACTCATTGTGCTACTTTTACCCATATATAGTACACTGACTTTGCTCTTTTGTAAACATTAATACAAAAACATTGTTGTTAGTTGTTACATTTAAATCTTCAAGATCCCACCTTGATGTTTCAGGACCCTCAGCAGGGTCCCAACCTCAACTTTAGGATCCAAATGTGGTCCGCAAGACCTTCAGAGATGTCTTCAAATTTGTTGCTTTAAAGTCAGCACTGGCTTTTTTTCCTACCTATTCAAGGAGAAATTCACCGTATCAAATCTCCATTTTGATGTATTTTCACTGGCTATTTTTGCTGCGTCCCAGTTGTACTGGGAAGTGTGAATTTCCCATTTACAAGTTGTAAATTTCAACAGGAACAGTGGGAATTCCCTGTAGGAAAGTGGGAGAGTTCTGAATTCAAGATGGGAGCTCCTCGCCACAACTCAACAGTGAGTATTTCTCTTGTACTTTTACTTTGCATAGTATTTCTGTATTATTTATTTCACATTTAGTCAGTTGTACATGCAGTACTTTTCAGTGTTTATAAGAGGTGTAAAAATACTGTTTCTGGGACGAGACAWGTGAGAAGAAAGAATTAATTGTGACCCTGATGACATTTAAACTCCTCCCACTTTTCATGTTTCTTTCTTTTAATCATGAAGATTAGTTTGCCTGGAGCTGATGTTTGATGTTCAGTTACGTTTTATTTCTGCAGGTTAAAACTGATCAAAGTGCACCTCGTTCTTCTCCAAGCTGCACTCGGACATGGCCTTGTCTCCTTGCTCCTGGAAGGTGATGATGATCAAAGCCACGAAAATGTTGACGAAGAAGAAGGGGAACACCACGAAGTAGACCACGTAGAAGATGGACGTCTCCATGCGGAAGCCCGGGCTGGGGCCCTGGTCCTCGTAGGTGGCGTCCACCGAGTGCTTCAGGACCCTGAAAAAAATAAAACCCTTCAGTTTTTACTCAAACCTGTGAGGATTACTCACTGACATCTTTCAGCTCGATGGTTTTTAAATCGTAAAATGTGATCGGTCCAGGAGCTGGTGCTTCAAGGAAAAAATGCTTTCGCTTTTCTCCAGTAAAGCAAACTAAACAACTCAGAGCATCTTAGTTTCTCTGTCTGTCATTGCATCTTATTTTGAAAGGATTAAAAAGCAGAAACCCTGGTTGTGGGTTCTCAATACACTACCTTACCAYTTAATCCAAGCTTTGATGTGATGGTACAAGTTTGTGCCTCCCTCTCCACATTGACCTATCAGATGAGCTAATCTAACTAAATCTAAAAACCTCCAGCTAGCAGGGGAGCAAGACCAGAACCAGAGGTACAGAATGGAACGATGGATTGGGTAAAATATTTGAAGAAAATTAAATAATTTCTGCTAAATTATGAGTTTATTTCTGCAAAAGTCAAACTATATGATCATTTTTAAATTTTCTGTTTCCAACTTTTACTATATTCACTTTAACCATTAGATTCTGGTTTTTAATCTGGTTCAGTCTCTATAAAACTGAACAAACAGACTGGATTTAACAGAGGGCGATCACATCTTTCAGCTCAGGTTTTGTGGTTTGACTAATTCATTCGTTAGTTTGAGCTTAAATGAACACATTGAAAGAAGCTGCAGATCAGTAAAACTGAAAGGATCAACACCAAGCTGTCAGGATTCGTGCCGTTCTGTAAAAATAACGCGGGCTGATTCAGTGTGTTCGTGCACGTTCACCTGCTCGGGAGGAAAAAATGAATAAAAGAAGCTAAAGGGGAGAATTAACRGATCGTGACACAGATGATTTAGAGCAGCCTGGAGGCGGTGCTTTGACTCGGGTGCAGGATGTTTTTTTCAGCTTAATGAGCCTTGATTGTGTCTTTAACGAGCGCAGAGTAATTAAAACTGAGAGTAATCAGACGGGTTTCATTTGTTCTGTACCGGTTTAGGTGAGCTGAGGTTTGTTTCTGTTACTCGTCATCTATTCAGTCAAACAGAAACTGATCTGTTTCAAACCAACATTTGGTCTTTTCAGTTCTTGTGGGACCAGCTTCTGTGAGGCTGTCTACTTTTAAACTTAAATCCTATAGTTAGGGTTAGTTTCCTGATTCATCCCTTAGTTCTGCTGCTATAGGTTTATACTGCTGGAGGACAAACATGTCCTCACTCTGCTGCTGTCTGTAGTCACTCTCCTCTACAGGTTTGTTAGGGGTCCAGAGCATCAAACCTTATTGTATCTATTCCGTTTTTCGTTACCACTGTTTGTTTTTCTTCCGTCGGAAAAAATCATACTGCAGCCCAAACCGCAGAGACAACAGAGAAGATTTTAATGTGGCAGTAAAAAAAACAAACTTACGAGTGCGGAGGAAAAAAAAAAATCAACATGTCAACCTATAGGGGGCGCTATAATCAATATCTTTGCATTTGGCCCTCTAGATTTTAACCCAAAAGTCCCAACATTATTTGGCTTATAGCAACACAATCCCTGAACACCTTTGAGTCACATGGTATAGGCCACGCCCATTTCCAGATATTTGAAAAAAACTATTTTCAGCTTTTAGTCAAAGGTTTAAAGTTCAACAGCTACGAAATTTACCAAGAAACTTACTTAGAATCAGCATAATAACTATATATAGTACAGTRATACACAAGATTGACAGGATGATGGAAATGACGTGAGCCAAAGGTGACATGCATTAACGGGCTTGGACCCCAGTCATAACTGCTTCGCAGTTCTAGTTGTAATTATTTTTTATCAATAACTTGTTTTTTTTGTCTCTTTTCCAGAGGAAAATATACCTGGACCTGWCTCTTTCCTGTCCTCTCAAAACAACTATAAGAAAAGTCACTATTGGCTGTCTTATAAGCCACAAAATTATGTCATCTCCAAATTTGCATATTTAAACACTTGCCAGTAATTGTTATTGAGGCTGTATATTAGGGTTGAAAAAAATAGTAAGTAAAAACACATTAAATATGTTTAGAACTGCAAAAATAAAAAATACGATATGTCACACAAGGTGGATGAGGTGAAGAATTGAAAAAATTTTACAGTAAAATTCATATCCCGCTTTGTAAACCAGRGCGAGAGCAGTGGCAGCTCCTCTCTGCTCTGGCTGCAGCTGGTGTTTCTGTTAGTCGGACCGCTTGTCAGCACTTTGGAAAGGGGGAGGGGCTCACAGCACAACTTGCTGAGGACAATGCTGTCGACAAAGTCTCCAATAACACCGTAAAAAGTTGCTGCATTTGTTGTTTTTTGGGGAAAATAAAATCATTAGAAGGGTCTGAAAAAAATCGCTAAATCTAGCGACGTCGCTAAGTTGCTCAAACCCAGCCGGTCGAGGCAGATGGCCGCCCGTCCTGAGTCAGTTTCTGCTGGAGGTTTCTTCCTGTTAAAAGGAAGTTTTTCCTTTCTACTGTCACCACTGTGCTGCTCAAGATGAGATGAGAGAGGACGATTCAAYACAATCTGCTGGCTTCCTTAGTTTTTCTTTTACAGTGACCTGAGACGATGTTTGCTGAGACTTGGTGTTAAATAAATAAAGCGAATAGAAACTTCTGTAACTTACAGCGGCCAGCCTTCCCCAGTGGAGACGGTGAAGAGCGTCAGGAAAGCCCAGAGGATGTTGTCGTAGTGAAACTCATACTTCTTCCACTCTCTGAGCTGAGCCGTCACATCGTCTCTGTCATAATCCAGGAACTGACCTCTGGGGACAGAACAACCAGCACCAGAGAGGACGAGAGACGTTGTGGTCGTGTTGTCAGAAGAACAACACAGGGGGGGTTTAATGGTTTTACTGCGTGTTTGTGTACCTGCAGTCTTTCTGCAGGCCCTTGGACTCGTCGGTGCAGTAGAAAAACTTGCCCTTGAAGAGCTGCACGGCGATGACGGCAAAGATGAACATGAAGAGGATGTAGACGATGAGGATGTTGAGCACGTTCTTCAGAGAGTTCACCACACAGTCGAACACGGCCTGCACAGAGAAGAGACACAGTCAGGCGTTTTTATCTGCATCATTACATATAAAACTGATTCAGATGATTACATTAAGGTTTTCAGTTGGAAACTTTTATAGGAAACCATCGTGAAGTTCCAAAAACAYAACATTTTTGATTCAGTAATTCAGCTACAATCCTAATACCTGTCTGTTTTTGAAAGCTGGGATGTTGGTAAGAATAATTTGACCTATTTTAACAGTTAAATTGTATTTTTAATAATGTATTGCAGTTATTAGCTAGTCTTTTTCAGTTTAAAGTGACAATAATACCAAGCTACAACAATAAATGCAGTGTGAATGTTTATTACTTAATATTACTTAGCTGAAAGCTGCTAAAGAAGCTGAAATATTTTTAAACGTTGCACTATAAATGCTTGCTGAGTTTTAACAGTTGATGTGGAACACAAAATTAGCTGAATGACTGCTGAAAGTTGCTGAAGAGCCAAAACTGTGGGAAACAAAAGCTTCAAGGAGGCAGCTGAAAAACAGAAATATGCTAATTACAGCTGAAAGGAGCAGGAAAAGCTGAAGAGGGCAGAAAGGAACAGGAAATTTTTAAAGTAGCAGAAGATGAAGTCAAAATCAGCAGAACAGCAGAAAAGATCAGAATAATAGCCGAAAAAGCAGAAAAAAAAGCTAAAATCAGCTAAACGGAAGCCGAAGGAAACTGAAATTAGCAGAGAAGTTAAAAAAACAGAACTAGAACAAAACGTAAAAAGTTTAGTAAAGATTTATGAACATTTTGAAAAGTTTTAAAGAGATTCAAAACAGCTCCATTCATTTCCAACGAGAAAAAAATGGCTGAAAAAGCTAATTATCTTCAAAAATATAAATAGTTGAAGTACCAAAAGTTACAGCCGTAGTGTCCTGAAGGAGCTGAACGTTTTGATATACTGTATAAATTGTTGAAAAAACACAAAAAGTGCAGAACTATGAGTGTGTTGAAAAAAAGAAATAATCTGAATAATGAAAATGCTTGAWAAGCAGTTAGTCACAGAAAGATGAATCTGGTTGGATCTTTTCACAGAAATCCAAGCAAAAACTGATTTCTTTCTCTATAAACACTTTTTTCTTTTGCGCATTCTGAATTTTGATTGTAGCCTAGCTGTTTTTACATCAGCTACACAACAAAAACAAACAAACAAAAGTAAATTAGGTGATAGCTTCTAACAAAGCTGGTAACACTGTCACTCGGTGAAGAGWCAAGTCGATCCTGTTGGCTTTTACATGTTTGAAAGTTGCTCCAAATGAAAATTCACCACTGAACTGGAAACAACGGATGTAAAAAAAAAAAAAAACTTTCAGGTAAAATCTAAAAGTGTCTTTTCTTGTAAAATATCCTCCATCAGAGCCCTGCGTTACAGCAGGTCTGGTGCCCACCTGTCGCTGTTTTCAGCTGCACGTCTCTCGGCTCGTGTTGTGATATCTGTGCTCTGGACGGAGAGCTTTGTTGATCTAACCTGACGTTCAATCTAACCAATGAAGTCGCAGCTCCATCGTTTTCCTCCGCTCCACAGCGAGGGGCCAGAGCAGATATTTTCTCTCAGCCCGTCTGTCAAACTCTGCTGGAGCATGTGAGGGGAGTCGTGTTGGAGCGTCTGCCTGCCAGCGCTGATCTGCTGCAGCCGGTTCACTGTTATTACCACCATCAGATCTTCTGTCTGATGCAATCGTTTAGGACGGTCAGCACCAGAGGGAAGCTGTCATTTCTGCATCAGAAGAAACAGTAAAGGATGGGGCTGGGCAGTATGGCTGAAAAATGTTCATGAAATAAGCGTTCCATGTCATCGATATCGATAACACTACTGAGATTCTTCCTCCGTACGGTTTTTTAGCACGTCACTCGTTCCACCAGTTTTGTGCTGTTTCAACATTTCACATATCAAAACATTCAGCTCCTTCAGGACATTCCGGCTATGAATTTTAGTATTTCAGCAACGTATACTTTTTCAGCTAATTAGCTATTTTAGCCACRTTTTTTTCATTTACATTAACAAATCTAACATTCTTAAAATCCTTTAAAATGTTTATAAATGTTTTCGGGCTTTTTACCTTTTGTTCTACTTCTTTGTGCTAATTTAAGCCTTCTTCGGCTTCTTCTTTTTTTGTTGCTAATTTTAGCTTTTTTTTGTTGCTATTTCAGCTATCTTTCTGCTCCTTTCTGCTAAATTAAACTTTTGAGCTTCTTTCTGCTTATTAATAATTTAAGTTGATTTGCCTCTTACACAACATTTTAGCTGATTTCAGCTAACTTTAGCTTCAACTAACCACCTTTTTGCAATAATTTCTTTCTGCTTCTTTGTGCTAATTTCAGCCTTCTTTGGCTTCTTTTTTTAAGCTTTTTTCTGCTATATTTCTGCAAGTTTCAACTATCGAGCTACTTTCTGCTTTTTATGCTAATTTATGATGATTTCTGTCTTCTAAGCATCTTTTTAGCTGATTTCAGCTAATTTCTGCTTTTTTCAACTAACCCCTTTTTGCCTAATTCAGCAAACATATGCGCTTTCTGTTTCTTGTTACTCATTTCAGCTTTTTCAGCTACTTTTTCAAAATATTTTCAGTTCATTTCATCTAACAGCAGCTGTTCAAATTAACTCGATATATTTATTATTGTTTAATCAGCCAGTCCTAGTAAAGGGTCACGTGTTCCGACAGTAACGTGGTTTTTAAATTGTGCTTGGTTTCTTCTTTCAGTAACGAGATGTTTCACAATTTGAAGACCTCAACATTCTACCAAATAAATTCCCACAAAAAACAAGTGTCCTGTGATGTTTGGAGGTAGTCGCTGCAGCATCATGAAGACGAGTCAAAACAAAGATTTAAAGTAAGAAACCAAATCTGCACCTTTTTTCGTCTCATTTGTGAGCAAAATCTACCAAATTTTAACCTTTGGAAACAGCTGAAGTGACTGAAAACAGGGAAACAAGAACAACAATGAATTTATGTTGTTGTTTTTTAAAGAAATGAATAAACTGAGCTGAACATTCATGGAGGAGCCATGATGTTTTTACACTTTTTTATACATTGTTTTGTTCAGTAAACTATTCAGAAACAGACGTTTTGCTGAACTAAATGAGTGGCGGCTGAATTACCTTGAGCTTCGGCAGCCTCTTGATGGTCTTGAGTGGCCGCAGGACTCGGAGGACTCGAAGGGACTTGATGGTGTTGATGTCCTTCCCTTTGGTCCCTCTGTGCAGATTGAGAAGCTGTTAGTTTGGGTCAGGTAMTGACTGCAGTACACCTGCTCCATCAGTGACACCTGTCTGTATYCTGTTAGTGGAGTTCATGCATTTATTCTACTGAAACATGCAACAATGCTGCTTCATCTGTTTCTATTCTTTCTTCTCTGCTCTTTGTTTTCTACTTYTATTTTTTATTTGTTATTCTGCATCTTGATATTTTCTTGCCTTTCTGTTTCTTTTTGCCATCCTTATCCATCATTTAGTCTTTACTTTCCTTTAATTCAATCTTATCTGTCCTTTACTTTTCTTTTTTATATCGTTTTCCTTACAAGATAATAAAGTTTTTTTGTTTTTCTTGTCCTTTCATTGAACTCTTTGCTGTTGTTTCTTCATAATCAACAAATTAAACCCATTTCACATGCAAAATTTGATCAAAATACTATGATTTGTTGTACGTTTCTTTGGCGCTTCTACAGCTTGCCTTAGCACMGATTTCACCACAGAAAAGCTCAGAATGTTTCTGTTTAGTAACACAAACATTTTGTATTTTTCACAGGAAATGCRCAAAGAATCTGCGTTGGGTTTGGGAAACAGATTCTTTGCAGGAACCACTTGTGTTGCAGCAAATACTTTGTTTAATAAGCGAGTAGTTTCCCAGTAAAACCTTCAAATTAAAGCTATGATTCAGTCTAACAAAGCTATTTTGATCTTATACTTCTTTTTTCATTGATAAATTAGTGGCAAATCAAAAAGAAAAAGCTTTTGAAAWATAAAAAAAGATCATGCTGTGATGGAAAAAGAGCAAAGACATTTATCACAAAGTTGTTCTGTATGAGAGATGCTATTAACGCTAACAGTTCATTAAAGATAAAAACGYTAAACCTATAAACCTTCAGGAGATTAAACAAACATCAGAGAAGCACAAGAGGCTTTTATTTAATTTGTTARAGTGCACTCGTCTCTGCAGAGAAATAAAATATGAAGAAAAATATGATGCTYATCAAGAAACAAATGAGAGCTCAGGAAGGAGCTCACGCAGGTTTTTCATCTGTGAACCGTTGGTCATCTGCGTGTTTCATCATCAACGTTTAAAAATGTAAACTAAGTTTAAACTGTTTATACCTGAAGCAAAGATTTGTGTTAAGAYGAAAAAAGAATAAAATACAGAAATTATTATCAAAATACTTTGCTGACACATTTATGTTGAAAGTAGCAAACTATTAGCTAGAAGCTAAATGTAGTAAAAGGCCAATCAGTTACACGCATCAAAAGGCCGTAAAATTTCTAAACATTGGATAACATGAAAAAAAGCATTAAAATAGCAATAAAATGCTAGCTAAGTAGCAAAATGCTCATCAAAAGAAGAAAAAGACAAACAAAAAAGTAAAATATCAAAACTTTACATAAAGCTAAACATAGAAACATTGCAGCTGGAAGTAGCAAAATTGTAACTAAAGCTGAAAATATAAGATAAAAGCTAAAACGCTAAAATTTACAAGTATCAATACGCTAGTGTAAGTTGCAAAATGCTCACAGAAAGTAAAACGGGGCTAGCTAAATGCTAAAGCAACATCTAGTTATAACTAGGGGTGTAAGAAAATATCGATACACTGAAATATCGCGATATTTCA